GGCCTCAACAATGAAAGATATTGGGTTCTGGGAACTGCAGAGTGATCATTGATAAAGTAAAAATAAATATATCACAATAAGATTAAAGAGGCTATTTAGTCTGAAGCTGAAGCATTTCTTGATCCCAAAATGGAGAAAAAAAAAAAATCAGACTTTTGAAAAATCATTACACAGAAGTGTGAGGCAACAAACTGCTTCTCTCTTTGTCATCATGAGACAAAAAAAAAAAAATACAAAACTAAGTCTCAGAGACGTTAAGTAATTTTCCCAAATTCTTACAGCTGATAAATAGCTGAGCTGGAATTAGAACCCATCTCTGTCTGATTCAAAGCTGCTTTGAACTAGACTATGATGCTTCTTCCCACCAGCCTCACACAAATACACAAGGTTCACTGTCTCTTGATAGAAGAATCAAAATGCTGCAACATTAAAATGTTGATGAAGATTTTTCTACTTTAAAAGTTGTGAATAGGCACGTAGTAGGAATTTATTATGTATTTGTTGATATGAGTCTCAAATTTTTACCAAGACCTTTGGAAACTTACTTTATGGTCTTTTTTTCTTTCTGATTCACTTTGGCTTTGAAGGGAATATAACATTTATTTACAGTGCTGTAATCTGTTTTGCATGTCAGAAGGGGAATAAATGTTATTTATAAAAGAAAAAATTACGAGCAGATAGTTGTGTTACTTCAGCAAGTAAACCCTAGGAGATGAACATATACCAACAGTTAGAGTTGGAATCAAAGAAAACTTTGATACTTAGTCAGCAATATGCATAGCCTTTCTCAGAGAATGAAATGAGGTCTAGAGGGACCTGCCCAAGGAAACAAGCTAGACTGAAATAGAGATGGACTAGATCTGAGATCTCCTGTTTCCTGTGAAAAGAGATTCCAGCTCTGACTTCATTAGATTCTCAAAGGGACCATTAAAAGATGGCTCGAGTTCCTGGTGCAACTCAAGGGGTGTAGAGCTCTTAGTTCAGGCTTCTGTGTTCTCATCATATCCCAGGCTGAGGTCGGTTAGCTGGCAGCCTTCTTAGTGACAACGAAGTTGCTAAGCATCCCTCCACAGGAGCTACCCTTTCTGCCCACTGAGGATTATGGTAGCAAAGCTGTCAGGCTTAATATCAACAAATTGTTTTGGGTAATTAGTCACTTTTAATTGCTCATGAAAATAGTCATTTTTGGTGACAAGATTATTATATGCTGCTTGTTAATGGGTTCCCCAGGGTCAAGAAAACACCACTGAGATTGCTAGGACCTGTTCCTTTTCATCTTTGGCATCACCCTTGAAATCGCCAGCAAAGGCATTGAGGAAAATAGGCTTTCAAGTGGTGCAAAGTACAGAGCAATGGTTTTCTTTTAGCTTTCTGCCAAGTGAAGGATTACAGTAGGACTTTCAACCTTTCCCTTCTATAATGCCAGCCAGGCTTCATAGACTTGTTGATCATTAACTTGAAAAGCTGGGGGAAGTTTCTGGTTCTCCCATTTGCTTGTTTACCTATCCAGCCAAGTTGCTTTACAATCAAGTGAATTTTGAATAAGTAGGGTCCTAGCACAAGTTGAATATTCTTGTTGCTTTTCACTTGACTGAACAAAGGGGTCATTTGGGCAGTTAGGTTGAGGCAGGTTTGCCTAATGGTTCACCATGTGCTGGCTCAGGGGAGGAATGGGTGAAGGTGGAGAACTCAGCTCAGCAGTGTAGGCAGCTGGAAAGTGATTGGCTCTCTATTAGCTATGCCACACCTTGCCATTTATTTGACCTATCTGAGCCATCATTTCATCATTTGTCAAAAGAGGTTAAAAAATAATATCTAGTTTATGTCTTAGTTGTAAGGATTAAATGATAGAAATGAGTGACATATAGCAAAAACTAAAACAAACCCCACAAAGATAGTATCTATTATAATTACAGGACACATCATCTCCCAAAATTCAGATTTCCTAAAGTCTGAAGTAATATAGAGGTTAAAAAAAAAAAAGTTAGACTCATATCCAACTTCACCTCCATGCCCTCAAAACTTGTTAATGTAGACAAATTTAATCCCATATGCACTGAATTCTTTTTATAAATGCTACACATGAAGATAGAGATTATTACACTACTATCAATTTAACATTTCTCTAGCTGAAGGAAATTAAGAAAAAAATTCAAGCTTTGAGTTGCAATATTGAACGATTCTATGGGCAAAATATTGAAGGATACAGGAAGAATCAAAAGAAGATGGAAGGAATACAGTTGCTGTATCAAAAAGGATTGGTTGATGTCCAACTGTTTCAGGATGTAGCATATGCTCAATAACCAATGGTATTGAAGGAAGAAGTCTCAGCTGCACTGAAGGAATTGGTGAAAAACAAGGTACCAGGAATTGACAGAATAGCTATTGAGATGTTTTAACGAATGGATGCAGCACTGCAAGGGCTTACTCGTTTATGCCAAGAAATTTGAAAGACAGCTACCTGGCCAACTGACTGGAAGAGACGGACATTTGTGCCCATGCCAAAGAAAGGTGATCCAATAGAATGTGAAAATTATTGAACAATATCATTAATATCACACACCAGTAAAATTAAAAAACGATCGTAACAGTATATTGACAAGGAACTTCCAGAAATGTAAGCTGGATTCAGAAGAGGATGTGGAATGAGGGATATCATTGCTGATGTCATATGGATCTTGTCTGAAAGCAAAGAACCAGAAAGCTGTCTATCTGTGTTTTATTGACTATACAAAGGCATTCAACTGTGGCTTATAACAAATTGTGGATAATATTGAGAAGAGTGGGAATTCCAGAATTGTGCTAATGAGGAACCTGTATATAGACCAGGAGACTGTTATTCAAACAGAATGAGGGGATACTGCATGGTTTAAAATCAGGAATGGTGTGTGTCAGGGTTGTATCCTTCCGCTATACTTATTCAGTCTGGATGCTGAGCAAATAATCTGAGAAGCTGAACTATATGAACAAGAAAAAGGCATCAGGATTGGAGGAAGGCTCATTAACAACCTGCGATATGCAGATGACACAACCTTGCATGCTGAAAGTGAAGATGGCTTTAAGTGCTTACTGATGAAGATCAAAGATTACAGTCTTTAGTATGGATTAACATAAAACAAAAATCCTTACACCTCGACCAATAAGCAACATCATGATAAATGGAAAAAAGATTGAGTTGTGAAGGATTTCATTTTACTTGGGTCCACATTCAACACCTATGGAAGCAGCAGTGAGAAAATCAGATGCATTGCACCGGGAAAATATACTGCAAAAGACTTCTTTTAGTGTTAAGAAGCAAATATGCCACTTTGAAGACTAAGGTGTGCCTGACCCAAGCCATGGTACTTTTGATTGCCTCATGCGCATGTGAAAGCTGGACAATTAATAAAGAAGACTGAAGAAGAGTTGATGCCTTTGAATTGGGGTGTTGGCAAAAAAGAATATGAAAAATCCCATGGACTGCCAGAAGAAGGAGCAAATCTATCCTGGAAGAGTGCAGCCAGAATGCTCCGTGGAATTGCCAGACTTTGTCTTACTTACTTTGGTCATGTTGTTGGAAGAGAGCATTCCCTGGAGAAGAATATCACACTTGGTAAAGTAGAGGGTTAGTGAAGAAGGGGAAGGCCCTCAACAAGATGGATTGACACAGCGGCTGCAAGTTTGGGCTCAAGCACAGCAAGGATTGTGAAGATGGCATAGGGCTAGGCAGTGTTTTGTTCTTTTGTACATAGGGTTGCTATGAGTCAGAGCCAACTTGAATGCCCCTGAAAACAACATCGATTCAAAGTGGTTAACATTGATTTCAATGTATGCAACCACGCAACTTGAAATCACAGATTTGATGTGAAGTTGACACTCAAGAATTTACATGGAGTCCATTTCTTCTCCGTGGCCCTTCCTGACGGAACAAAACCAAAGACACTGTCCTCATGGCACCTTTTCAAAGCAATAAGAGTTTCAGTACTTTAAAAAAATGTATTTTTGTTCTTTTTTTAAAGAGTAAAATTTTCCTAGCTTGTATCTATAATAAAATTTTATTCTCATTTTTTTTAGAAATTAAATGCTAATTAAGTTTGCTCTTACATGGAGTTGATCCTTGTGTTTAAATACTTCATTTCATATTTTTCTTCTGGAATTTCTTGAGGGTCAGTTCACCTTTATTGGTATTTCTTGAGGGCAAACCTCCATATCTCTTCTATTTCTACTTTCCTCTTCAAACACGGAGGTTCTCTGCAGGGAATGCAGCAGGTAAATTCAAACATTGCTCCAAGGAGTAAAAATGTCATCTCAGAAATAATGGCAAGATCTTCAGTTATATCCTCAAGTACAAATAGTCTTCTCTAAGAACTGGAAATATGATAGAAACGAGAGATTTGGGCATCTTGGCTGCCAAATATCTCTCCTTGTTCTTATCTTAGACATGCTGTTTTCCTAAGCTTTAATTTAACCAATTGTCAGGGAAAAGAAAGGAGGGAGGGTAATAATAATACCCACCACCCTTCTGTCAGTTTGTTGTGCTGTGGTAGCTTGCATGTTGCTATAATGCAGGAAATGATAGCACTGGCATTTCAAATACTAGCAGGGTCACTCATGGTGGATAGGTTTCAGCAGAGCTTTAAGAATAAGGCAGAGTAGGAAGAGGCTTAGCAATGTACTCCCAACACTATAGTGCTGGAAGATGAGGCCCCCAGGTTGAAGATAATGCACTCAAACATGCCAACAATCCGGAAGGTGACACAGGACTGGGCAACATTCATTATGTTGTACACAGGATTACTATGAGTTGAAGCTGACGTGGCAGCTACTAATAACAACGATAATAATTTCAATGAACTTTTGCCAGAGGAAGTATTTTTGTGGGCTTCCACAGAAACATGGAAGACTAGATGGTCCAGTAGTTGCATTTGCATTACAAGGGAAAACAAAATAAGGCACATTTGTTGGGGATATTGGTATGTTTGCTCATATGTATATATAGAAAATAAACCTCTACATTTCAGTAATTGTGTTACTTGCTGTTCTACTGGCTGCGGTCTGTGTGACACTTCTTGACAGACTTTAATGTGACCAAATCAACTGGCCCCATGATGTTCTGGTAGAGTACCTGCAACGACCTCAGCTCCTGATTTCCAGCTTCATCAAACAACAGGTTGGGCTCTGTAGGATATCTCAGCCCTCCTCTGCAAGTCTGTAGCTCAAGTTGTAATGTTGAAGTCATGTATTATTTGTAACATTTTCATATAGTTCCCATCCACATTGTTGTTGTTATGTGCCGTTGAGTCGGACCTGACTCATAACGACCCCTCCTTGGGTTTCCAAGGCAGTATCACTACGGAAGTAGATTGCCTCACCTTCCTTCCGAGGAGTGGCTGCGGGGTTTGAACCGCCAGCCTTCTGGTTAGCAGTCAAGTGCCTTAGGCACTATGCTACCAGAGCACATAGTAAAATCATAATGGAGTAATTTTATGAAATTCTTTTTTCTTGAAAAGATGAATTAATTTTAGAGAGTTCAAATTCATGTCATATTACATTCAAATTTCATTTGAGAATGAGTTAACTAAACCAGCTTAATAATTAAATTAAAAAAAAAAAATCCTGAATGATGACATTTGGAGTTTCATATGCAGCATTAAGCTCACATCAAAATAGATCAGCCATTTGTAGATGCAGTTTCCAGTCACTCTCCTTCTGAGACCAATCCAGAAATTCATGTTAGAAGGTTGTCAGGCACATCTAGGTGTTGGACAAGTGACAGAAATTGATCATGCACATTCAAAATACTTACAGAAAAAGTGTCAGCGTAATGTTGATCTATATGGAAAAGTTTTCTTTGGAGAAATGCGACCAGATATCTTTTTTTCCTCTGCACGATTTCAGTGCCTCTCAGAAGATTACAGGCTTATGTATTTGCCTATGTTTGTGATTTTATCACAGAATAGAATCACTTTGGATTACACATTTATTTTCCAAAACAAAAAAATCATCAGTACTACAAAGAAAGATTCTCATGTTTCTTCAGAAATCACAGAAATGTGGTTTAGAGGAGACTCTATTTTTTATTTCATTTGATGAAGAGTTGAATTTAGACTTCACTTCAAGTTGTTAAAGTCTTAAAGTTGTCCTTTAGTGTGACTTTGTGGCAGGTCCTTGCCCTGTTTCTACCTGTATCCCTACCTCGTTTGATGATGTGAGACACATGGCATCACTTAGAGACTATAATATGCTCTCTATGAATTGTTCGAGCCTTGGAGCTTTTTCTGAAACTGGTACATTGGGAAACATGGTTGGGGGAAGGATGGTTTGTGACCTTTAGTAGTATGTAATGTTCGATATATATATATTTATATAATTGTGGCCCAAATAAAGTTTAATTTCAACCATGATGCAGATTATTTGGATCTTGGAACCATTTCCACTTTGCACAGAAATGTAGGCATAGAGTGGGATTCCTGTTGGCATTCAGCAGGTCCTAGGCTGGCTGAGTCTGAAGTGGCTTGCTCCTGCCCAGGGAGGGATCTCCCTTTTAATCCACAACAGTAAACAATCCCCTGAGAAGTGCATCAGGTTGGGAACTTCTTTTGGCAACAGAGATGCTTGGAGTGCAGTTTTCAAGGTGCCGTGATAACTGACAATCAAATACAAAGATCAGCGCTAAAAGGAAGGTGGAATACCCTCCCAGGCATTTTCTGGTGGGGTTTTCATTTTGTTTCATATTTTTAAAGACCTAGTGGAAACCACTTCAGGGTGCCCTTTATATGTCTTCAGTTTGAACTTTTATCTTGTCTGCTTCTGAAAAATCCTCTTTGCTCTTCTTTTTACTAGGAGAAGGGGAGGCTATGAGAGGGAAAAGAATAAAATGCTTACATTTAACCCTCTTCTCAACTTCTGACCATAATTGTGTCTGTTTCCCACTAGTCTTTTCTCTCTTAGTAAATATACTAGCTGCAAAAGCCAGAAACCTGGGAAACCTTGTTTCTCCTTTCTCCTTCATTCCCTCCTCTACTCATTTGGTCCTGTTAATAGACTCTCCTATTTCTCAAAGTTGTACACCTCTTTCCACCCCTCTGTATACATCCTAGTCCAGCCCTCCGTCATCTCTCCTCCAGACACTGCATCAGCCTCATCTCTCATCTTCCTGCCTCTGTTTTTAAAATTTGAATGGTCTCTTTTTCTGCTTCAAGGAATTTACATTAGTCTTAGAATGAAGACTAAAGCCCTTAGCACAGCCCAGGAGTCCCTGCATTCGTCATTGGGACCAGCTTGGGCTTTCTAGACCATTTTACCCCACTTCACCCTCTATGTCTGCCTTCCAGGCACAAGGTCCTTGGGTTCCCAAGTTGCACTCAAGGCTACTGTTTGTAAGAGAGTGTGATGCATGGATGTGCTCAGCCAAGGGGACAAGTGGGGCTAAAATCCATCCTATCCCTGTTCACCTAGTTCTGCACTTCAGCTCTGGGCCACATCCAATCAGTGAGGGGCCATATCCTGACTGACCAGCCATGCTATACAGGATAGTGAGGGTTCTTAATGCTAATGACTCTTTCCATTTCAGGACTTTTTCCTGTCTCTTCTCCCTGAAAGGCCCCCTGGTGGTCTCTTCCTCATGTTTTAAATCTCAACTCTAAGGCCTCTTCCTCAGGAAAGTTATACCTGGTGCTCAAACCAGATTACTTCTAGCCTTCCACAAGTCTCTACTGCCTCAAACTATCAGGGACTATTGTTAGCTGTCGAGTCGATTTCCACTTAGACAACCCCACGTGTACAGAGAAGGGTCTATACTGTGCCTAAACTGTACCTACTTATTTACTCCTGTACCCCAAGCATCAAGAACAGTACATGGCACATACTAGGCATAGTGAATATTGGCTAAGGGAAGAATGAGTCCTCCTTATAGTATTTCCCTTATAAACTCTCACTAAAATGTCCTGAGTCGTCATAAGACTCATTCTTTCCTTATTCAGTTTCTTCTGAGCACAGCTCTGCTTGGCTGTCTCTCCCTCTATAGCTCACTTGTGGTGAGGGAAGTACTCTGAGCTGTCAGTGTACAGTGTGGTGATGTCTGGGCCTTCTCATTTTTTCACACAGTACACTAGAAAGGACACATTCACATGTATACCTCCAAACCTGAATCTAATTTCATGGGTTCACACATCTTCCTAAGTTTGGGTCATGACAGGGTGCTGGTGTCTTCTACTACAGTCACAGTTCCTGTGGCTGGCTATACCCATATAGCTGTCCACTCTAGGTTCTGGAAACTGCTCTCCTCTCCAACTCCCTCAGTCAAGGCTGGTAACAGCTGTTTCCAGCTGCACCATCCCTCATGGCTTTGCCTCAATCCTGCCCACCCCTTTGTAAACAGCTCCTTTAGTAAGTTCTCTCAGTTACCCAGTTTAATTGTGCCATCTGGTTCCTGCAGGGACCAAGTAAAACAACCTCCAAAATACATCTGGGGACCCAAAACCATTTTGAAAAACACTGACTTAAGAAACTGAAATCATTCTATATAAAACTTAGTTAAAATATTTTACTGAAAAACAGAAGTCAGGTTTTTTTTTTTTTTTTTCTTTTTAACTGATAGAATATTTTTAAAAGGTAATAATATATACAAGAATACAGCATTGAAAAATTCTCATAGAACTCTCCAGGGCTTGCAGCTTCAGAAACACAGTGCTAGACTTACCTTCCTAGCTGGCTGTTGGGCATCACATGTAATGTAGAATTGAAAGCCTGAGTAAAAGACAGATAAATGGCCTGTATTGCTTCCCTTCAGCTACATGTCCTGTCATCCTGTCATGGAAGGAAATTAAAATTGCCTGACACATACTGAGTTTCATCAAGCCACACTATTCCTCTACAGGGTCCTGGGTGCCTCCAGACTACTATAGCATAAGAAGATGTTTTTTGAGGATCTGATCTGCAATCTCTATCTCAGGATTTAAGAGCTAAGCAAACTCCTCTTTAATTATTAGGGTGTCCCTTTGTATCTTTTAGAAAATAAAAGTGCTATATGTGTGTATAGACGGCTGGTGGTTCAAACCCACTTGCCAGAGCAGGGCAGAGAGAGTCTTGCCTCCGGACATGGATGAGAAGAGGCTGTCCTCATTGAAGAACTATATCTACAGTTGATCCTGATCCTGAATTGTTGTTATTTGCCATCGAGTCAGCCCCAACTCATAGCGACCCCTCCTTGGGTTTCCGAGGCAGTATCACTACGGAAGTAGGA